CATTGACACAGAGTCTGACACAATAACACATACCTCAATCAAACTCCACCCGCTGAGTGGACAGCAGAGCCACAATCAATCAGACATCAATCAAATTCCACCCACTAGGTGGATGATAGCAAAGCCACAGCCAATCAATCAAACTCAGAACATTAAGTGGATGATAGAGCGAAAGCCAATCAACGCCAATCAAACTCTGCCCCACCTTGTGTAAAGGTATTGCAACTAAAGTACTGTAGATGATGCGAGCACATAGATTTCGGATTAACCAGAGCAAAGTATTGTTCGGTTTAAGCACCCTGTGCGATTTGTACATAAATCATCTCCAAGAATAACGAACATAACTGGTTCATTTAATTATATGATTTTAATCGTAGTTCGTAATTTGATTGGATTAACGAGTCCAGTGAAGGCAGATCCCCCTCCTAGAGGACTATACACTACACTTATCTATACACTTGTAATAAAGGACTTCGTCACACACTGCTGGTCTCCGTTGCTCTTTATTTAGCTTCTTGCTCGCACCCCGCTGGTCCTGACAGCGGACCAGCGTCTCCTCACGCGCGCCCCGCACGCGCTCCCTCGTCAGTCCTCTCGCTCCCCCACTCTGCACATCGCTGGCCGACGGATGTGCCGAAGCTCCTCCAGCTACGTGGCTGATGGCGCGGATCCCCTCCGGCCACCAAACGTGGTCCAGCTTACTCTTTGACTTTACCAAAATAACCAAAGAGTAATTCCTGCAGTCACGAAAGCTCCAAATTAAGAGTGGTCCAGCTTCTTCACTCCAACAACTGACACGGAGCCCTTCCGGGCTCCCACCGATATCCCCTTTCCCACGTGATCCTGTCTCCTCTGCTTCCGGACCGTCAGATCCGGACTTCCCGTAGCGCCCTGCTGGCTCCACCCCCATTCACCTCGCTTCCGATTGGACCCGAGGTGAACGGCGGGCCCTCCCATATGCCCCCATACTGGGCTCCGCCCCCCAATACCCCGGGCTATACACTACACTGTACACGACACTACACACTAAAATGCTAAACACTACACTATACACTAAATTACTCACTACACAGCTATATACTACACACTACACTACTATACTATACACTACTATACACTACACTTTACACTACATTACACACTACACTATTATACACTACACTATACACTACAATCTATTCTATAATACACTACTATACACTACATTATCCTACAATATACTGATATATACTACACTACTATACACTACACTATACACTGCACTACAATATACTACACTATACACTACACTATATACTCCATTGCATACTATAGTATACACTACACTATTTTACACTTCAGTATACACTACACTGTACACTACCCTATACTATTCTGTACACTACTATACATTACATTATACACTACACAATACACTATACACTACACTATGCACTACAATGCATTCTACGATACACTACACTACTATACACTACTTTATACCATACTGATATATACTACACTACAATACAAAAGTACACAATACACTGCACAACTATATACTACACTATACACTACAATACTATACATTACACTATACACTACACTATTCACTGCACTACTATACACTATACACTACTCTATATTTTAGACTACACTATTCACTGCAAACATAAAACAATTTACATACATTTTACACCATCTAAACCGATACTCTTATAGACCAATATAAACCAATAGATACACATAATCATAGAGACCCATAGAGATCCACATATACCCATATAGACCCATAGAGACCCATACTAAAGTAATGACAGGGTGACACCTGCCGGCCGGTAGGGGTAATTACGGTTATAGCTATATTGCGCAATGCCTCATTATGAAGGGGTGTGTCTGGGGTAAAGGTCAAGGGCGGATTTAGTCGAGAAGCTCCGGGAACCAACTCGTAGGTTTGGGAAAGGGGGCGTGGCCAGAGGTGGAGCTTGGCATCGCGCTAGACAGATATAAGGAGCTGTTAGTGTGGAGTCTGGGTCCTGGTTGCGTCGCTGCCGTCGTGATCTTTTCGGCTTTGACCACGTGGCTGTTCGTCTGCAAGAGAATCTCCGTCGCCGCCACTACGCTCGTCGACCAGCCAGCGTAGCTGCAGGAACAGCGTGTTTGGACAGCCGAGGTGTAGACACGTTATGAAGTGTATCGCTCTGTTTAATCTTAATAAATAAGAATCCTTCTACTTGACGTGTGTCGGAAGTCGTTCACTACATGTGTGTGAGTATATGAGAGTATATGTACAGTGAGGGAAAAAAAATATTTGATCCCCTGCTGATTTTGTACGTTTGCTCACTGACAAAGAAATGACCAGACTATAATTTTAATGGTAGGTTTATTTGATCAGTGAGAGACAGAATGACAACAAAAAAATCCAGAAAAACGCATGTCAAAAATGTTATAAATTGATTTGCGATCTGTCTGCCCACTTCCCGTTGCCTGCCAGCAACGTGGAGTGCTTGTGAACTGAGATAAGTAAATAAAAGGACCGATTCCACAAGCCGTCTCCAAGAGTATTATTACATATGTATGCGTGTGGCTGGGTCATGTAGCCCGCATGCCCAGCCACCGCATGCCTAAACAGCTTTTGTTCGGCCGGATCGAGAGGGCTAAAGGTGCGCGGCACGGGCTAGAGAAGAGATGGAGTGATGTGGTACAGGAGGACGTGGAGCTGAGTGGACTTGCCGATGACTGGTACCAGCGGTGTCAAGATCGGCCTCTGTGGAGGAGGCTCGTGAAGGACGCTACTGGGCAGTTGGAGGCAGTCGCCCTCCAACAACAACGGAGGGTGGAGGAGCGACGCTCACAACAACGAGCGGAACGCCGGGTGGCTAAAGCACAGCAAGTTGGTACAGTAGGGGGCACAGGTGGTGCATCAGCCAGTCATCTCGGTCAGTCGACCCGTGGCAACTGGGTCTGCTCCGTGACCTCCTGCCAGCGGGCGTTCGACACTTCACGTGGCCTCAAGGTGCACATGGCCTGGCACAAGCGTAGTGGTGACGTCACCGCCACTTAGTGGCAAATGGCGGTTGTTGTTGTGTATGTGTGTGGAGGAAGTACTGAAGGCTATCCAGAGCGTGTGACCAGGAAAGGCACCGGGCAGAGATGATCTCCCAAGTGAAATGCTGAGGGAGGGTGGCGTTTGTGCACAGACTGCCCTACATGACATCACATCAACAGCCTGGACCACTGGACCGGTTCCACAGGACTGTAAGGATGCCCTGGTGGTCCCTATCTTTAAGAAGAGAGACCGCACAGACTGTAACAACTACAGGGGCATCTCACTCCTCAGTGTGCCGGGAAAAGTCCTGACAAGGATTATTCAACACCGCCTTGCCAGGCTTTCTGAGGAGAGGCTTGCAGAGCCCCAATGTGGTTACAGGAAAGGGCAGTCCTACAGCAGAGGTGTAGGGAATTCCAACAAGACCTACATCTCTGCTTGATTGACCTGGTCAAGGCCTATAATACCATCAGTAGGCCTGGGCTCTGGGTTGTTCTTCGTGCTTTCGGAGTCACTGACCCGCTGCTAACGTTTATTAAGGACCTTCATGATGGTGAGCGGGCCCGGGTAAAACTACGTGGCCGGGAGTTGGAGCCATTCCCTGTTCACTTTGGGGTGCAACAGGGATGTCCTCTGGCTCCAACATTATTTAACATATATTTCGACCACGTAGTTCGTGAAGCCTTCAATAGCTGTACCAGATGAATTTCCATCTGGTACAAGTCAAACAATAACAACCATAATACAATTTAGATTACCCATATGTTTTATAAATCACCAAAATGACGCTATAAAAACAATGTAACAACAGTAATCATCGGATCTGTGATTTGAATGTAACAATAAACGATATATAAAACATGTATGCCCAAATTTTGCAGCCATAGCTGGCAGCATAACACTCCCAGTGTATGATGTGAGTCAGTAGTAGTGTGAGTGTATGATGTGTGAGTCAGCGTATGATGCGTGAGTCAGTAGTAGTGTCATTGGGTGTATGATGTGCGAATGAGTCAGCGTGTGATGAGTGAGTGTGTATGATGAGTGAATTAGTGTATGATGAGTGAATGGGTCAGTGGGGTTGTGTGAGTGAGTGTATGATATGTGAGTGAGTCAGTGTATGAAATGTGAGTAAGTCAGTGTAAGATGAGTGAGTGTATCACGGCCTCCTCCCCTCGGCTCCCTCGGCTCCGTCGGCTCGTGCCTCTCGCCCACCGCACGCCATCACGGCCAAGAGGCTGCGTCGTTGTAGGAGCTTCTCTTTGGCAGAGAGATGCGGGAGCTGCTGCCTCTTTCGGGGCCGCCGAGGCCGCACGCATGCCCAGCGCCTCATCCCTTATCCTCCGAGCCTGAAGCGGCCCCGGCCTCGGAGCTCCGGCCGGACCAGGGCAAGCCGAACCCTGCCGCCGAGCCAAGCGAGACCGAGGCTCCCCGGAGCACCAGGCCGCAGTGCTGAGACTCCACCACGACCATTGTCAACCCCTAACCCCTCACACACTCATTCCCTCACACACTCATCCCCTAACCCCTCACACACACTAATTTCCTCACACATTCGCCACTCGGGTCGCCTCCTCGCTTGCTATCCACAGCGAGTGAGGAGGCGGCCATCTTGTGATGTGTGGATATACGTGGGATCTTTGTCTTAATTTTTTTGTATGTGCCCTAAAATTTTTTTCCACATTCGTCGTCTCGAGCCGATAACAACTGTGAACACTTCGACTCGACCGTCAACCATCATGAACGCGTTCGTAAGGACTGCCGACAGCGCCGACAATCGGCTCTGGGGGGCGGGGCGGAGCTGGGCGCTTCTTCCTTGCTGCTTTTGAAGATCGTTCACTCCGCCTCCCTGTCGAGCCCCCCCCCCCATGCTCTCTTGAAGCTTCGCTCGTCCCCACCCCTCTCGGCCAACGCTCGTCCACCTCCACCCGAAGGTCGTCAATAATCGCCTCCACCCCCCCCCCCCCCCCACTTTGCGCAAGAGCGTAGAAGCTTGGCCACCACATCTGCACCTCTCTGTTTGTGAGGAACGAAACAGGTGGGCTTCTCCACAAATCTGTCTTTCGCCTGATGAAGCTGGTTGTAATTACTGGCGAAACGCCATGCTCAGAGAGCAAATGTTGTGGCTTGGCTCTCCAATACACCGGTGTGCTGTACTAGTATACTACATTATACACTACACTATACACTAAACACTAGTGCTGTAATAGTGACGAGTTGGCCACGTTCTGTTTATGTGACAACCCTTACCAGTTGGCTGTGTCGGGTGGTGGCAGGTTTTAACGCCACATTTCTATATTTACGCGATCTAACCCAAAAAAACCCCTCCATTATGGTTGCCTCCACCATCGAACCTTTGCTTATCCGCCTTTTTGCGGTTTTGAATCTCTCCTCCGACCCCCTTTTGAACCTCGCCTCCCGACCAATCATTTTTCGAGGCCTCTCTCCACCGATGGGGCTACTTCCTCACTTCATCACATCCAAATTATTTTCAAACTCCTTCCCATCAGCCATCCCGACCACATCGACATTCGTGACCTTCACTCTGTAACATTCACCACTTTGCCCATCACCCGACCTTGACCTCTGTGACCCTTGTGACCGTTGTAACATCCATGACCGTGACTTCCGTGATCTTGCCAATGACTTTTGTGACCTCCACGACCTCCGTGACCTCCCCCCCCCCACCCAGTCACCCTAAACTTGACCTTTGTGACCATTGCGACCTCCGCGACCTCTGCGGTCCGTCGCCCCGACGACCACTCGGGCGTACTCGACGCGGTCAGAGTCGCCGTCGGCGCCGCGACCCACTCCGCCATGTCCCGCGTGAGGGGTCGGACCCGGGCCTCGGCGGTTCAGCGCCCACTGGTCGAGCGCCGCATAGGCAACGACGTCGCTGTCGTCGCCGCCGTAGCCGCCGCCGTCGCCCTGCAGGGAGGCGTAGATCACGTGGGAGGGGTCGCGGGAGCCGGGGCCGAGGTGACCGCGGGAGGATTGAGCAGCGCGGGAGGGGTTGAGGGCGTGGTCGTCGAGCGATGCGTAAGTCACCCCCTCCCCGTCCGAGTGGTCCCGCGCCTGAAACAACGGATGGCGAGATGCAAACCTGAACACGCTTCGATGACAGTGACGATGATAATCATGATGATGTTCGCAATCTGCCTTGAAATTGAGAGGCCTAGACCGACCAGTTTTAGCGCAGATATCAACGCCTTAAAATGTGAACAGTACAAGTACAATTCAAATCCAAATATCCTTTGATTATGATGATACTTATACCTATAATAATATTAATAGTGTATGCATTGTACAGTGCTGCGTAAGGCACCACCCTCTTCCTCCTGCAACCTCCGAGGGGTTGTCCCGCGTCTGAAATGACTGACAGCAGGGGTGCAATCCTAAGTATAATTTCATTATAACAAGAGTGGGCACCGTCTTTGAAACTAATTGGCCCACAGCAGAGGCTACATCAGCCTCCTGCATGGCCTCGTCTCCGCTGCCACCGGTGGTAAGAGCAGAGCACATCACCTAAACATGAACAGTACATGGACAATGCAACCCTAAACATCCTTCGATTACAATCATTCTACGTATGGTGATTAATAAAATAATAATAACGTAGGCATTGCCCTTGAAACTGATTGGCCCACACCAGAGGCTATGGCAGCCTCCTCCGTTCCAACAGAATCCTTGAGCTGATCTGAGCCCCGCACTCTTTACCTCTTGTGGTGTCTTGCAGGAGGCGAGCGGCTGCTGTGGTGGCGGCGGGCGTGGCGGTGACGACATCCTCCGAGCTGCAGGACGAATACAAATTACAATTGACTACGACAACAACAACAGCTGCATCATCGTCGTTGTCGTTGATGTTGTTGTTTATCACAGTAAGGGAGATTCAGAAAACGCAGTCGTCCTTCGGGGAACAACGGGGCTCAGTGATTGATGGAGAGGTGCAGAATGAAGCCGACTATGCCCAACGTCAAGCAACTCGAATGAGCTCTTGCAGTTATTTACGGCGAGATGTTAACTACCTCGCCTGGGATACAAGAGGTCGTGGGTTAGATCCAGGGGCCAAAACAAGCACTATGGCTAGGATATGTTAACTACCTCGCCTGGTACGCAGGAAATAAATTGAGTTTAGTTTTAGTATGGGTATTGATGAGTATGGGTCTCTGTGGGTCTCTATGAGTATGGATCTCCGTCGGTTTCTTTGAGTCTGCATCTCTGTGGGTATCTATGAGTCTGGGTCTCTGTGGTTCTCTATGAATCTGGGTCTCCGTCGGTTTCTTTGAGTCTGGGACCCTGTGGGTCTCTATGAGTATCCTTGTGACTGGCTCTCTGTGGGTCTCTATGAGTCTGGGTCTCTATTGCCGGGTCCGCGTCTGAAAAAGAAGCCACACAGCTCAGTTGTGGGGGGCCTTGCACCTGGGTAATAAAAATAAAAATTAGATCGCACGGCCGTGGGTAATCTTGGAAAAACATCGTGGAAAGTTTGACACGTCACGTCCCCTTCTTCGCTGACCGGTGACCATGGGAGTTCGTGTGGTGGGTAGTGTGTGTGTGTAGTGAGTGTGTTAAGTGAGTGTGTGTAGTGAGTCTGTTTTTAGTGAGTGTGTGTAGTGTAGTACATAGTGAGTGTGTGTAGTGTGTGTGGTGTGTGTGGTGTGTGTAGTGTATGTATTGTGCAGTGTATGTTTGAAACCAGAAATAATCTCCAAAGCGAAATGCTCTCAGTGTGCCGGGAAAGGTCCTGGCATGGATTATTCAACATCGCCTTGCTAGGCACGCTGAGGAGAGGCTCGCAAAGCCTCAATGTGGTGTCAGGCCAGGGCGGCCTCGCACAGATGCCATATTTTCTGTCCGTCTGCTACAGCAGAGATGTATTGGAATCCCAATAGGACCAACATCTCTGCTTTATTGACCTGGTCAAGGCCTATGATACCATCAGTAGGCCTGGGCTCTGGGTTGTTCTTCAGGCTTTTGGAGTCCCTGACTCTCTGATCACGATCATTAAGGACCTTTATGATGGTGGGCAGGCCCGGTTAAAACTACATGGTTGGGAGTCAGAGCAATTCCCTGTTCACCTTTGTGTGCGACAGGGATGTCCTCTGGCTCCAACATTATTTAACATATTTTTCAACCACGTAGTTCGAGAAGCCTTCCATGGCTGTGCTGGAGGAATCTCCAATGGGAGGCTGATTTATTCCCCTTGTGCGGTCAAGGGATTCCTCCGTTTTGGTAAACCATGTTAAATATGCTGATGATGTGGTGATTGCTGCTCAGTCAGAGGAGCAGTTGGAGGAGCTGCTGCTCGCCCCATCAAAAATGAGCACCTGCATTGGTATTTTGTGCCATCAAACACCCCGCCCCATCTACTCTCTATTGGGCAGTTTGCTTATGACCAGCTCTGGTTTGAATTCAGTGGAGCGGCATTATCGTTTCATTGGCGGCATAATGGTGTGTGGAAGCTACCTTGTCTATCGCTCCACACGAAGCTTCAGGTCTTATCAGCCACAGTCATGCCCTCCCTTCTCTACGCTTGCAAAACTTGGACCCCCCTAATGGAACATCTTCGCTGGTTAGAAAACTCAAGCTGGTCTGCCTACGATCCATCCTGGGTTTAACCAGGCTGGATTGTGGTAGAAGCTCACATATCCTATAAAAATCTGGACAAAGTCCCATCGGTGAGCTCCTCTGGCAGGTAAGGCTGAGTTGGCTGGGTCATGTAGCCCGCATGCCCAGCCACCTTATGCCTAAACAACTTTTGTTTGGCCAGATAGAGGGGGCTAAATGGGAGCGCATGAGCTATAGAAGAGATGGAGTGATGTGGTACAAGAGGATGCGGAGCTGAGTGGTGCAAGCGGTGTCAAGATCGGCCTCTGTGGTGGAGGAGGCTCGTGAAGGATGCTACTGGGCAGTTGGAGGCAGTCGCCCTACAACAACAATGGAGGGCAGAGGAGCGATGCTCAGAACAATGAGCGGAGCGCCGGGTGGATAAAACTCGTCAAGTTTGCACAGTAGGGGCCCAGGTTGTGCATCAGCCAGTCATCTCACTTAGTCGACACATGGCACATGGGTTTGTCCCGTGACCTCCTGCCAGCGGGCGTTCGACACTTCAAGTGTCCTCAACGTGCACATAGCCTGACAATCGCCGTGGTGACGTCCCTGCCACTTAGTGGCAAATGGCGGTTGTTGTTCTTGTTATAGCTATATGATGTATAGGTGTGTAGTGTGTGTGGTGTCTGTGGTGTATAGGTGTGTAGTGTGTTTGTGTGTGGTATCTGTGTAGTGTATGTGTGGTTGTGTGGTGTGTGTAGGTGTAGTTGTGTATATTGTGTGTGTAGTTGGAGTGGTAGTGTAGCGGTTAGTGCTACACTGCACTACGAACCTGACGTCCCGTGTTCGATTCCTGCTCACGGCCAACACCAGTGACGATTATTTGAAACGGTCCTGGGCCTCCGCTAGGTCGACTCAGCCTCAAATGAGTACCTGGTGCGGTGTGTAAAGATCGCCATTGGGGGATACAAAGGCGGCCGGAAACGGTGCTGGCCACCCTCCCTCCTCTGTGTGTGCCACAGTGCTGGTAGCCTTCATAGGCGCTGCTGCTACTCGCTACAAACAGCACTTGCCCCTATCGACTGTTACAGGCGACACGGGGGGGGGGACTTTGTCTTTGTCGGATCATAACACCTCACCTTTGTAGCGGTGGTAAATGATGAGGCACGCGATCGCGATGAGCATCAGGATGATGAGAACAGGGGACCAGTAGATGTAGTGCTGAGTACTCGGGCCATCACCTCCTATGAATACAAACAACATAATAATAATCATAGTATAATAATAGGTGTCATCCTTTCTGGCAATAAAAAAGGAGTGGTGTTAATATGTTCAAACACTAATCAGAAACCTCGTGTCACTGCATTAACCACACGCAGTAAAGGTGGTGAACAAGCAAAAAAACAACAAACAAGCTCTGCTAATATATGATGCACTCGCGGGAAGTACCCGGCGTTGCCCGGGGAAAAAATATATTTCAAAACGTTTATTAAAAACACAACATATACATACACAAGTACTAGCTACTAGTAGTTAAACTAGTTAAACTACTGACTAGTAGTAAAACATAACATTTTCATACACAAACACTAACCTATTGTGAAAGCTCAGCGTGCCCTTTTTCTATCCATTTTTCCATCAACAAATTTTTAAGAGGCTTGCAGAAGCCCAAAAAGTTAGAGAAAGTGGGGGGTAAGTAGTTGATCTAAAAGGTTTCCGAAAATTGTCGACCCCACTTCCTCAAAAAATATGTGTACCCCCACGTAGGCATATATACCTACACACGCTACATACAATAGAGTGAGTAGTATCCAGTGATGAGAATAGCTTTTCCACTTTTTTCTGGCAACAAACCTGGTGTTGAGAACAGACACCTTTTACAAGGAATCATGTCTGCATTAACCACAATACTTGTGGTCAGAATGGAAAAAAAAACATACTCTGATAATATATGCATTGTCTTTGAAATTGATTGGTCCACACCAGAGGCAGCTTTCTTTTGGGCCTCGTCCCAAACAATGATAGACCAGACGATGCCAAAAGGCGTTTGGGACTAGGCTCAAAAGAAAGCTGTCTCTGCTGTGGAAACGACCAGGTCACTGTTCGGAGTTGGCCCATAGGGAAGTTGCCGTGGCTGCAGGTTCGTCCGCTGTTATTGGTATTATACAAGGGATAGAAATTAGGATGCTCGTCGAATTAATTCTTAACATATTTCCCCGAAAGTCTCGTACCCTGTGACCCGCCGGGGTTCCATGCTGTACTGCAAACGGCGGCTCATTGGGCGTTATTGGACAGATAATGGCAGAAGTGTGCATTGGAGATATCAAATTGACGGAACCAGTTCTTGTTTAGACGTCCCTTGCCGTTCCTTGCTTGCTTGGGACTGTTTTCCTGGGGAAGATGCCCCTGAAAATGTTAATAGATCAGGGATGTGTCGAGTTGCCATCGGGCCACCAGTTGGCCTTTTTACCTTCGCCCACTCGATGGCATATGGCCGATGCTACAGTACAAGCACTTGCGAGCAAAACCGTAACGATTCCTCCCGGGGCGCAAATGCTAGTGCCCTTGTGGTTGAGGAAGCCACTTGACCAGGATGCGACTGCGGGAGGAATCCTACTAGGACCCTCAAACAAAGCCATTTTTGGTTTGAAGTTAGTATGGGCTCAGCCTCTGGTGTCCAGTGACCAGGAACCGTTCATTCAGGTCCTCAATTCAGGGTTGGACACGTCAGTCTTACAGCCGGGCACAGCGCTAGCCCATGCGTCACCCACGCTTTGCGAAGGTAACATATTTGGTGGAGTGGAGGCTGCATCGGTTATGGAGCCGCAGCGGCATTCCGATGGATGTGCTCTGCTCCGAAAACCCAGAATTGTCCGAGACTCAGAGGAAGACGCTTTTGCGGGAATTCTCTGACATGTTTAGCAAGTGCAAATTCGACATTGGCTGCACTACCCTTTTGCGTCACCATATCAATAAGGGCAATGCCGCCTTCATACGGCAGATTCATTAACGGCTGAGCCCCAAAAAGAAGAACAACGTAAGGCTGGCAGTTGATGAGATGTTGACCGCCGATTTTATCTCGCCATCCAATTGTCCATGGGGGGCCCCGATCGTCCTTGTTAAGAAGCAGGATGGTAGTTTGCGCTTCTGCGTCGACTTCCGTAAACTTAATACAATTTATGTGGCTGACGCGTACCCCCTCCCATGAATGGATGATTCCCTGGATGCTCTGGCAGGGGCACATTATTTTTCAACTCTTGACTTCCTATCGGGATTTTGGCAATTGCATCTGGATGAGTCTTCCAAGCCCAAGACCGCCTTTCACACACCACAAGGCTTATTTGAATTTAATCGGCTCCCAAGGGGTCTTCACTCTGCTCCAGCTACATTTCAGCAGCTGATGGAACTGGTTCTAGCTGGCCTCCAGTGGGATTCGTGTCTGTTATATCTTGATGATATTATTGTTTTTAGCCGTATGTTTAAGCAACATCTGCAATGGTTACACGCTGTCTTTCCTAAAATGCATGCGGCGAACCTAAAATTTTAACCACAGAAGTGTCATCTGTTTAAAAAAATCTGTTCAGTATCTCGGCCACATATTAAATTAGTCAGGGATAGCGAGGGATCCGGACAAAACTGCGTGCGGGCGTTATTGGCTGACCCCAAAATAGGTGGGTGAGGTGCTAAGTTTTATAGGATTTGTGTCCTACTACCACGGTTTTGTCACCGGGTTCGCCACTCTCGCCAAGCCTCTCCACTCCCTAACGGCAAAGGGTCAAAAGTTTCATTGGGGGAAGGAGGAGAAGGCAGCATTTGTTGCACTCCGGGATGGCCTGGTGAACGCCCATCCCCTCCAATACCCCGATTTTTCCTTGCCGTTCGTCCTTGATACGGACGCTAGTAATACCGGAATTGGCGCTGTTCTGTCTCAAGTCGTGGATGGCATGGAAAGGTTTTTAGCAGCACAGTGCTCTCGGGTCGAGCAGCGATACTGTGTTACACACCGGGAACCTTTGGCTATACCTACCTTTATGGCAGGTGCTTTGAGGTGCGCTCTGACCATGCAGCCCTACAGTATGCACTGCGAATTTAACATCCGTCTGGTCAGCTTTCACGTTGGTTGAAAGTCCTGCAGAACTAGGACTATTCTTTTACTGTTTCCTACTGCAACAGTATCCAACACACAAACACAGATGCCCTGTCGCGGTTGCCAACGAGCGATGGGTGCGCGTGTTTCTCGGGCTCGGGGCACTGTAGGATGGCTGCCGAGGCCTTGCCCCTTCCCCTTGTGGCGTCGGTGGATGTTGATACCCCCGAAAATCCCGACGGTCCCGATGCAGGTGACGCCGCTATTGGCCTGGGCCATGCAGAGTGGGGATGCCTCCAGGCGGAAGACGCTTCCCTGTTGAAACTTGCGACGACGTCTCAAGGGTGCCAAAGGGGGAGAAGATCGATGGGGGGTGGCCTCTGTTATCCTCAAAGGTTGGTTGCTGATGCGCTGGGATGGGGGGTTACACCATTATAACACTGTCGTGCCCACTGCCCTGCGGGGTAAAATAATTTGGGCAGTGCACTAGCGACTGCTGCACCTGGGTGTGCACAAGATGCTGGCTACACTCAAACTCGACTTCTTCTGGCCCAGTATGGCGGAGGATGTCGCTGGTGCGTGCAGTGCACTCGGCGGAAACCACCGTCTAAACCTTGTTGTCCATCTTTGCTATCCATTCAGGTTTCCCGTATAAATGAGCTGGTGAAGCTTGATGTCCTCAGCCTATTTTCAACCACTCCCCACTGGAATAAGTATTTACTAGTCAGCGTCAAATATTTTTCACGATGGCCGATGGACTGGCCGCTTCCCAAAAAGTCAGCGGTGGCTATCACTGAGGCATTCCTCGACGGTTATGTGCTAGACAAGGGGGCCCCGGAGCATCTCCTGACCGAGCAGGGTAAAACTTTTCTTCTAAATTGTTACGGGAGGTGTGTGATTTGTTGGGAATAAATAAAAGAATGAACGTTGCCTTGTCACCTCCAGATGGACGGGATGGTGGAAAGGTTGCACAGGACTCTGACCTCTATGTTAAGCCATCATGTTCGCGGAGTCCTTGCTGCCTATAAAATGGGCCGGCTACTCGCCATTTTTTATGTACGGGAGGGAAAACGACCTCCTGATTGATGTCTAATTGCAAACCGAGCCGAACAGTGCTAAGTTAAAAATTTCGGAACCCATACGCCTTGCCCTTCAGAGAATTTCGGAAGCACGCGAGGAAACAAGGGGAATTTCTATTTCATGCCAAATGGCAAATGAGAGCTGAGGGATCTCCTCCTTTCAGGACATAAGTGGGCTCCAGCTGTCAGGTACCGGTGGGCACGTTGCCCAAATTGCATAAACTTGAAGAGGGCCTCAGTGTGTTCCAATTCGCTGGGGTCGACGAAATTGGTTTATTCACCCTTCACGCCTCAAACCTTTAATTGCGCTGTGTGAATTCATCTCATATCCAGTACGCAAGGTCTGAGTGTTGGGTGTGTCGGGCGAGCTGGGGCGTGCACCCGCTGAGGTTGGTCCTCAGGGGAGTTATGTGATCCTGCCCACAGGTTCTGAGCGTTTAACACCCCCTGAACCGCAGCCTGCGACGTCTCCAGGAGCTCAAGGGGCGGAGCGCCCATCTTCCCTGCCGACTGCTCCTCGTGAGGAGCCGTGCTCGTCAGGACATTTTCAAATTCCCACCGAGAACCCCAGGGAGCTTACGCCCACCTCGCCTGGGAGCCTGGCTATAAGGGCTCATTCCAAGACTGTTCGGTTCTCGTGACCCCCCCCAAAACACACTACCACACCGTCTGTTGGTTGTCGCACTTGTCAGTCGTATTCGTCATTGGCTGAACCTGGCCTTTATTGTGCTCATGGGTGTTGTTACACGTTGAGGGTGGGTGATGCTGGTGCAGGACAGCGGGGGAGTTCCCGAGGTTGTGTGTTACCGCATATGTTTTTTTTCTCTTTCTCTCTCTTCTGTTGTGTTATTGGCCTATTGTTGTGTTCTGTCCCTCTGCTACCTTCCCCCGTTCGTCACTGTATATAGTGTAAAAATTGTACATAACCGTTGTTGATATTTATTTGTTGAGGCGCGCTAGGGGGCTTTCTTCTGTTTTATGGGGGGAGTTGACAGCCGGGATGCTGTGGGTGCAGTGCCGGCCCTAGAGGGAACGGCACGTGTGTGCTGACCTAAGGGGAAGGTCGTGTGAGG